CTCTCTCTCTTCGTCGTTGTCTTCTTTGCAGGTACGCGGCACCTCCTTCCACAGAGCAGCTATGGCGGACTTCTCTTCTCCGATGGTGCACCTCGGCTATGGCGCCTAACTGGCGCGCGTCTCCTTCCCGCTGGCAACGACGATGGCGTGTGGGATAACGGGAACCAGCTCCGATACCAATGCAATCAGACTCGCTTTCTTCATTGCTTCACATACATGCAAACAGATGGCAACTCACACTGGCGCCAAGCGCCAACTAAAAGCTCAGAGATATAGAAGTCGAGAACACAGTTCGGATGCAAACCAAGTTCAACAGGCTATGGTGCATCAGCGCCCGTACATCCCAACTTTTGTCACTCTGCCCAACACCACAGTTCGCACATACTCAACTCTGGATCACCCTGAATACCCCACACACATTCCCTGTATCACACACTCGTACACACACACTAACTCCTAACACTAGCTATGGCGGCTACGGCCGCCGGCTACTACTGCCTATGGATACTCTGCCTTTCTTCAGCCCACTTCGACTTCGGGCAACCTGCAGACCACCTCGCACAAGACGCTGGGGCAGTGCTTCCGCATGGCTTACGCACCGAACAAATAAATAGCTGGGCGCTGCCTCTTGATTTATACTTTTCTAAGTCGTTGGTCTGCCCTTTTCCACCGGGCCCATGGTGTACACAGTCCCTCATGGTACTTGCTGATTGTGCAAAGTGAGACTGGGACTGGGTACCGTTGACTAAGCGAAGTTGGACTCACCACTTGCCCGCTTGCCTCTGACTAAACGTGAGGAACCCTCGAAAGGCCACTTATGGACCTTACGGAAGTCTGTGGACTTGACCTTTCGGGATTGTAGCGGCTACGACCTTGACCTTTCAGGACTGTAGCAGCTACAACCTTCACCTTTCAGAAACGCTACAGCTACGGCCTCTACACAACTATGACCCCTACTCGACATACCTACAGATCGAACCCCTACAACTACAAAGACCTACGACAGACAACAGCCAACTACCAAAACATAGGTCGCAGGTTCAAACACTCAGGGTTCAACTCGATACTGTACACGGTTAAGGTAAGACCTGGGGATCGAGCTTCTGGGGCCCGCATCTGTGACTGCGAAAGGTGAAAACCGTGTCACCAGACCCCAACACTGTGAGCACATGTGTGTGCATGTGGGTGCATGTCCTTTTTTTTTTTTTTTTTTTTTAATGCTCCAATCTATTCGTCCAGTCTCATTTCTGAAGAGCCCCTACGGATTGCAATCAGACTCGCTTCTTCTTACGTCGCATACATGCCAACAGATGACAATCCATACTGGCGCTTTGCGCCCACACAAAGCACAGAGATGTTCAAGGTGAGAACACAGTTCGGATACAAACTCGCTTCAACCAGCTATCGCGATTGATCACCCAACTTCCTTCCCAACTTAGTATTCTCGGTCACTGTTCACACACACACTCACACTCGACTCCGGATCTCCCTGAATACCCCACGCACACACTCTCTGTAGCACACCCACACTCTGACTCGCTAACAACTAACTCTACCCTAAGACGGCTATGGTCGCTCACCACCACTGACTATGGCGCTCTATCTTCCTCACTGCCCACTTCGACCTCGGGCTTCTGCAAAGTTGCAAACCACCTCGCACAAGCTGCTCAGGCAGCGCTTCCGCATGGCTTACGCAGGAACGAATGATGGCTGGACGCTGCCTCTTGATTTATACTTCTGTAAGTCGCTGGTCTGCCCTTTTCCACCGGGCCCATGGTGCACACAATCCCTCATGGTACTTGCTGACTGTACAAAGTGAGACTGGGACTGGGTACCGCTGACTAAGTGAAGCTGGACTCACCACTTGCCCACTTGCCTCTGGCCTGCTGTGTATAACACGAGAAGAAACTTGAAAGGCCACTTTCGGACCTTTCGGAAGTTTACGGACTTGGCCTTTCAGGACTGTAGCAGCTACGACACTTGCCTCTGGTCTGCTGTGTATAACGTGAGAAGAAACTTGAAAGGCCACTTCCGGACCTTTCGGAAGTTTACGAAGTTGGCCTTTCAGGACTGTAGCAGCTACGACCTTGACCTTGTAGGACTGTAGCAGCTACGACCTTGACCTTTCAGAACTACAACAACTATGACCCCTATGGGGGTATGACCCCTACTTCGACAAGTCTAAGGTTGAAGACCCGACAACTACTCAGACCTACGACATACAACTTTCAAGTACTACCACACAGGTCACGGTTCAAGACTTACAGGGTCGACTTGATACTGTACACAAGTAAGGTAAGGTGAGGGTGAGGTCCGGGGATCAAGCCCTGGGATCCGCAGCTGTGTCTGCAAAAGGTGATAACCGTTTCACTCCCACCGGCCTAAATTCGAGGTCCTCCGATGCTGTCAATTACCCCTACATACTGTTATGAAGACATCTTCACCTACAATGCCGTCAATGTCGTACCTTCCATTCATGTCCAGAGGGGTCATGGACCTCCGTGATGGAAACTGATGACTTGTGGTACAAGGCAGCAACTTTGACGCATGAAACACCGGGTAGGTGTGGAGCTGCGCTGGAATTTTGATTGTGTACCAGTGTCCATCCTCCCCGCCCGTGATTTCTAAGACTGGCCACGGTCCTTAGTATGCACGCAGTAACTTTTGTGAGATGTTCTCCTCAGGAGCAAACTCTTTGGACTTGACCCAGATTAAGTCGTCTACTTGAAACTGCGATGGGCGATGGTGCCTATTGGCTTGCTCTATCATTCTATGCTGGGCCTTTCTAAGGTTCTCTGTGACGGTAGCAATCTCCTTTTCATATTGTAGTGCAAACTCCCTAGTACCGGGCGGTAGCCTTTGAATCTGATCACGGTTCAGTCCCTCAAACGGTCTACGCGGTCTAAAGGACTTATGTAACTCGTTGGAAGTGCCACAAGTCGCTAAGTGCACACTGTTATTGTATGCGCTGGCTACCTTTGAAAGCATCTCATCCCAGTTAAGCTGATCAGGTCTAATATACATTCTAAGAACTTGCTGCAGGATTTTGTTCATCTGTTCAATCTGACCGTTAGTCTCAGGATGACGGCCTGATGACATTAACAAGCTAGAGCCATAGACTCTCATCAATTCCTGTCAGTTTTGACTGGTGAACCTGGTATCTCTGTCGCTAACTATTGACAGCGGGAGACCATGCTCACTGACCCAATGATCAAAGAACTTATCTATAACTAAATCTGTCCGTGCCTCTGTGGGTAAACGAACAAAGACTGCATATTTACTAAATCTATCAACTATAACCATGACTTGGCTCTTGTCATGCCTCCTCTTGACCCCGACATCCATAAAGTCAATGGACACAAAATCTCCGGGTCCTACGGGAATAGGCAAGGGTCTGAGAAGACCCAGAGGGGCTCGCGTTTTATTTCGCTGACACACCTTACAAATGCGTACATATTCTATGTAGCCAACCTTCATGTCAGGCCAAGTATACGCACATATAAGGTTGGCTAACGTCTTCTGCCAACCAACATGGCCCTCTGAGTCGTGGCATTCCCCTAAGATCAAACTACGGATCTCTTCACTACTGGAAACGTATAAGCGCTCAACTACGTTAGTCTTCTCAAACAGTAAGCCATCTGCAGTGTGGCAATCCGGTTCAGTCTCTGGATCCTGACTCTTTTGAGGAGATCGTTGTAAATAGGGTCCTGCGCATAGGCTTCCTTAACTTTCTGTTGGAGGTCTCTCCCTATGTCCAGATAATGAACTATCGCTTCAAAGTAATCAGCTCTTCTACTTAGAGCGTCGGCGACTACATTATACTTCCCTTTAACCGGCTTGAGTTCAAAGTCAAACTGATCTATAAGCTTAGGTGTCATCTTGGCCTGCGTCTTCAGCCACCTCAATGTCTCGTGGTCTGAATACACTTTGAAGTGCCTCCCAAGCAAGTAATGCTTCCAGTGATCTAGTGCCTGCCTGAGAGCGTAGAGTTCCCTCTCATAGGTAGATGTTGCTACCTTCTCTGAAGGCATCCTAGCATACATGAACGCTACGGGTTTATAGCCATTTCCATCATCTTGCTGTAGCACAAGACCTATACCATACTGACTTGCGTCAGTGGTGACGACAAAAGGCAAAGACGAATCGGCTACCTTGCGGACTGGATACTCTATCAAGGCCCTTTTTAACTTCTTTAGGGCCGACATATAGTCTCTATCCCACTCCCAGATTGCTTCTTTCTTCAACAACCTGCGAAGGGGTGCGGTGATAGTGGAGAAGTTCCTCACGAACTTCCTGCAATAGTTAGCTAGGCCTAAGAGCGACCGCAATTCCGTCAATGTGCGGGGCGTTGGCCAATCTCTGATCGTTGTTATCTTACTGTCCTCAGACTTTATGCCATCTCCATCTAAGACGTGGACCAAGTATAAGACTTGTGTCTTGGCCCACTCACACTTCTTCGCGTTGATCTTGAAGTTAGCTTCTCTCTGCTTCTCCAAGACCTGCCTCAAATGACCCTCATGCTCTTGAAGGGTCTTACTAAACACTAAAATATCATATACGCCTAAGAACGACCGCAATTTCGTCAATGTGCGGGGCGTTGGCCAATCTCTGATCACTGTTATCTTACTGTCCTCAGGCTTTATGCCATCTCCATCTAAGACGTGGCCCAAGTACAAGACTTGTGTCTTGACCCACTCACACTACTTTGCGTTGATCTTGAAGTTAGCTTCTCTCAGCTTCTCCAAGACCTGCCTCAGATGGCCCTCATGCTCCTGGAGGGTCTTACTAAACACTAAAATATAATCTAAGTATGCTACTACAAATCTATCTAACCATGGTCTAGACAGATCGTTTATGCAGCGCTGGAACGTAGCTGGTGCATTGGTCAGTCCAAAGGGCATCACTATAAACTCATAGTGCCCGTATATAGTCCGAAATGTCGTTTTGTACTGGTCATCAGGATGTACCTCTATCTGATGATAACCATACTTTAAATCTATCTTTGAGAAGTACTTACAACCCTGCACCCGATCTAACAAATCATCTATGCGGGGAAGTGGTTCAACATTCTTCACGGTAACGGCATTGAGACCCCTATAGTCTATACACATGCAAAACTCTCCTTCCTTCTTGGGAACAAAAAGAACAGGCGCTCCAAACGGAGACGAACTGGGCCTAATCCAACCCTATTCTAGAGCTCATCTAGCTGCTTACGCAGTTCCTCTAACTCTTTTGGGGACATTTTTTACACGGCCATCCTTCGGAGTTGTATTGCCAGGCTCTATCTCAATGCGATGCTAGATCGGCCGCGACACTACTCTTGCACGCGGTTGAGCTAAATCTGTATACTCCTCCAGCAGCTTGGCAATGACTCGCTCCATAGGCTTCTCTTCCTTAGGTTCAATAACATGCCTTCTAATTACTCCTTCCTCACTAATCGTGCAAACGCGGGAGCACTGAGACAACAATGTGACCAGGAGTTGTCTACTCCTGACACATGGAACAGGCGAGCAGTCTTTACTTCGCTTGTTGGGCTAGGGAGCCTACACTCATGCTCTCTCAAGTGGAGTGTGGCCCCTGCTGCCTCTCCCCAGTCCATTCCTAGGACCATGTCGAAAGGAAGGTTGTCCTCTACGAGGAGAGTCAGGGAATGGAGAACTTTCTCCACCTTCCCATCCTTCTCTAGGCAAAAGTACGCATGGACTCCCTCTACATAATCCTCGACTTGCATAGTGTGATTGTGTGCGAGGATGCTAACTATAGGGTCCTCTAGCTTTTGGACTTTGAGATTCAACTTCAACTTCTGAAGCGTTTTTCTACTGATATAGCTGCGAGTGGCCCTCCTATCTATCAAGGGCCCTACTCGTCCTCTAAAGACTTCTACATCTACGAGAACTAGTTGTCCTTTCGTATCTTCCTTCATCTTGGCCCACGCAGGCATTCTCTCCTTCAACTCTCCTGCCACGCCTGTGAGGGAGGTGCCTGGAGAGACCCGAACACAGGCAGTTTCTGGACAGCTATCTAGGCACTGGCCAGCAACCTCTGCCATACACACGTGGTTGGGGAATTCTTGTGTGGTGCGCGCACTCTTCTCCACATGGTCTAGGGATAGGGGCAGTTGCAACCCCTATCGACGGTTGCCTTTTGCTGCCTGTGCAGCGAACCGGGCTTCTCTATATTTAGGGCAGTATTTTATGATGTGTCCAGGATCACCGCAATAAATGCACTGGTCCTGGTTTATCCTTTGCTACCAAACTGTCTGGTCTAAGCCCAGATCCTCCCAAGGCCTGCCTTGCGGCAGACCATGATGCCATCCACCCCTTCTAGGTGACCGATCGAAACTAGAGCGGTTTTGCGGGGGACCTTGACCCCTACCGCCCGCTTGGCGGCCTCCTCTACCACCAACCCCCTGATCATCCTGTCCTTGACCACCGGAAGCCTGACCTCCTTGGCCCCGGCCTCCTCCTCTACCTTGAGGCTTCCCCCTAGCTGCAACAACAACGTAAATCCTCCTCTGACTATCGCTAATGCCCTCATCCTCCAGGCCCCATTCTATTTGGTCATATGAGGCCTCTTCCATACCACCCTCATCTACAGTCAGGATCAAATGATCCTTGGCCTTGACTTGGCCAGAAATGGTACGACCCTTCCACTTTTTGCCCTTGTCAAGGTCCTTATGCCAGAAAGTGGAAACTGGCACGGACCGCGCTTTACCACTTCCCTACTCAGATTATCGTAGGTCATGGTAGACTTCTGACTCTTCTCAAAGAAGTGCCCGCGCAAATGCTTGGGCATGGCACGATAGAATAGGTTGACCAGTTGGGTCTCAGTGACCCCATGGTTAGGGACAACTACCAACTCATCCATTACTCCCTTGAGTGCCCTAGCACTCTTCCATTGTCGCGAGTGGATGGTCTGAAGCTTATCTGAGGCCCTAATCCCTCTAGTGACATCGACAAATCTCTAACGCAACAACTTAAGGAATGCGCCCAGGGAGGTTTTCGTTGAGTAAGCTGCCATGTTATTCTCGCAATCAGCAGCGCGGGCAAGCGATTGGGCGAAGCTTCCTGCCTCGTCCCTAAGGGCATGAAAAGCAATTAAGACTTGCTCCTCGGGCACAATCTTCTCGAGGTGAACATACAAATTGATGTTCCCCTCCCTGTTGTCAAAGTTTTCTCCCCTTTTCCTGCTATAGGGATCAGGGAACTTTACCTTGATTGGGTCCCTACGGGGATGTGCTTCCTACTCCCTTGGAGCTGCTAACTCAGCACCCTCTATTTCCCCTGTACAAAAGCGCTTTGTGCTCTCCATCCTTGCCTTAACTTATGTGCCCATGTGCATCATTATTTCATGTGCGAACTCCCTAAAACCTAAGCGTATGGAGCGCAGCATTACATCCTGGCTTCTGGCGAACTGATACTGCTCGTCCCAAGCTTTAGCCAGGAGTTCGATATTCCTCGACATCACCTCGATCTTCCCCTATATATCCTCTTGCGCCTCCATCTGCGCCCTTTGCTCCTTTATAGCCTCCAACTCTCTCGCCGTCTTGCTGGCCTCTCCCATCCGTTTTTTCTTTTCCCTTGTCAGATGCAACTTCCACTCAACTTTTTCTCTTCTTCTATAGTTTGATGTTCCAAAGGGTCTTCTTCTGCTTCCAACTCTCTTATAATCGCCTCTTGTTCTTCCCTGGGGACATATAACATCGCCTCCTCCTCTTCTCCCAAGGATAGATTGGCGACCCACTCTGACACCTTCTTTTCCAACCACGGGCCCCTCTCCTCCTTCATGCCACTGGACTCCCCTCTGTCCTTGAAACTCTTTCTGATCAGGGGAACTTCCTCCTCTACCTTTTTCTCTTCTTCTTCTTCTTCTTCTTCTTCTTCTTCTTCTTCTGCCTCCACTGTTTTCAGTTTTTCTTCCTCCTCCTTTTTCACCCTTTCTAGCTCCTCCAACTTCTTTCTTTTCGCGGCCTGCTCCTGCAATAAGGCCAACTTCTTGGCCTGCTTGACGACATCCTTCTTCTCCTTCTTAACCTTCTGCTCGGCCAAGATCCTCGCAGCCTCCTCCTCCTGATCCTTCGTGTATGGAGTGGTGCTAACACCACCCCTGGTCTCTACTCTACATGTAAAGGTATTCCAAAACCCCAACGGAAAGAGACGACGCCAGAGGGTCCCCCAGAGGGCGAACCCCACGAGCAGATCGTGCATAGGGTAGTCATCCATGGTGTCAGGTGCACGACAATGATCGTCCCACTCCTCACCACTTAGACCTACTTGTTGGACTGACTGACTGTCTAAGGACCACAGGATCCGGATAGGACCCTGTTAACTATGGTCACTAGCTTGGACCTAATACTACAGCTGTCACTACAGGACTCAATGCTGATCAAGAGGCATTTAAGGAGATCCCCCGTAACCCGTCAGGAATTATTTAACGTCGCAGATAGGACGACACGATCAGCAAGTCCTCTCAAGACTTAGACAACCTGTTGTGCAGCCCACAACTCGGATTTTGGGCCTACCATGCCACACTGAGCAACCCACCGATCTGTACCGGTCCTTGGGAGGGTTTGTCTTGCGGGTCAGTCAGTCGTCAGACACCGCCTTTAGCCCTACTCAGCCCGTGTGGGTTTGGTCAACAAAGCTCTACGACCTCATACACAGATTTCCTATCACCTAGACAGAAGAGACTCAATGCAGAAAGAAGAGACAAGCAAACTCAGCAAGTACCATGGGGTGAGTGCACATCCATAAGGCGAGGGGATAGGCTGAAGGCTTGGCGAGAATATACCAACTCCAGCTTGGTCAAACTCATGGTCAACAGCTCCGGTCAACGCTGGTGAACGCTGGTCAACTGCTCGGTCAACAACGCTGGTCAACTCTCCGGTCAACGCCTTAGACAACGTCCAACTCGGCTATTGCTGCTGACACCTTTCTCCCTTCAGCCTTCACGTTCCTTCTTACTCTTTTCCCTCTTCTTTTCTCTTTCACCCCGGCTATGTCTTCTCTCTCCTCTTCGTCTCTCCGTCCTCCTTCACTCAGTCTTCCTCCTTCCTCGTTCACTCTGTGTCCGCGCTTGGCGGCTATGGCCGCCACCTCCTTCCTTTGACTGCACAACCAATCTTGTATCACTCCTCTCTCTCTCTCTCTCTCTCTCTCTCTCTCTCTCTCTCTCTCTCTTCATCGTTGTCTTCTTTGCAGGTGCGCGACACCTTTCCTCGGGGACAACGATGGCGCGTGGGATAACGGGAACCAGCTCTGATACCAATGCAATCAGACTCGCTTCTTCTTACTTTGCATACATGAAAACAGATGACAATCCACAATGGCGCTTTGCGCCCACACAAAGCTCAGAGATATTCAAGGCGAGAACACAGTTCGGATACAAACTCGCTTCAACCGGCTATGGTGATTGATCGCCCAACTTCCTTCCCAACTTAGTATTCTCGGTCACTGTTCACACACACACTCACACTCGTCTCCGGATCTCCTTGAATACCCCACACACACACTCTCTGTAGCACACCCACACTCTGACTCGCTAACAGCTAACTCTACCCTACGGCGGCTATGACCGCTCACCACCACTGACTATGGCGCTCTATCTTCCTCACTGCCCACTTCGACTTCGGGCATCTGCAGACCACCTCGCACAAGCTGCTCAGGCAGCGCTTCCGCATGGCTTACACACGAATGAATGAATGGCTGGACGCTGCCTCTTGATTTATACTTCTGTAAGTCGCGGGTCTGCCCTTTTCCACCAGGCTCATGGTGCACACAGTCCCTCATGGTACTTGCTGACTGTACAAAGTGAGACTGGGATTGGGTACCGCTGACTAAGGGAAGTTGGACTCACCACTTGCCCACTTGCCTCTGGTCTGCTGTGTATAACATGAGAAGAAACTTGAAAGGTCACTTCCGGACCTTCCAGAAGTTTACGGACTTGGCCTTTCAGGACTGTAGCAGCTACAACCTTGACCTTTCAGAACTACAACAACTATGACCCCTATGCGGGTATGACCCCTACTTCGACAGGTCTAAGGTTCAAGACCCGAGAACTACTCAGACCTACGACAGACAACTTTCAACTACAACACACAGGTCACGGATTCAAGACTCACAGGGTCGACTTGATACTGTACACAGGGAAGGTAAGGTAAGGGTGAGGTCTGGGGATCAAGCCCTGGGATCTGCAGCTGTGTCTGCAAAAGGTGAAAACCGTTTCAGGATTAGCAAGGACCCCTCGTGGAGCAGAGATGGACATTAGACTTGTAGACTGCCTGTGTGGGCCGAGAATATATAGTCTGGATTCGAATTCAGGTCTGTGGCACTCTGTGCATCACAGTTATGGGTCACTGATTCTCTGTTTTCTCGTTTTTCTTTTGTTTTCTCATTTTTCTTTTGTTTTTCTTATTTTTCTTTTCTTAGGAATACGTGCAGTGGCCCTAAGGGCCTCTACTCACCACATGCACAAAAAGACAAAACATATGGCGGCGTATTATTCCACGTTCTAGCAGAAGATTTATTCTAATTCTGCACATTTGCAGTGGCCATAAGGGCCTCTACTCACCACATGCACAAAAGGCAAAACATATGGCGGCGTATTATTCCATGTTCTAGCAGAAGATCCTCTCTTTTTTTTTTTTTTTTTTTTTTTTTTTTTTCGTTGAAAGCCCAGGGTGTTGTAGAGGCCAAGGACCAGACCCGCGGTGATTGCTGGTAGCAGCAGCCAATGGTTGTCCTGACAGGACAGGCCACCTACTCCACCCATCCCCACGTTAATACTCCCAGCGCACCCCCCTGTCTCTTCTATCCTACCTCAGTGTGACCAGCACTCAGGACCATCACCCTACCAGTATTGAGGGCAACTTGGACCAGACAGCAGTGACAAGCACCAGGGCTGGGCCAGCTCCCCAGCCCTAAGGGAAGCGGAAGCGGACGAACCTTGCCGTGCGGGAACTTCGGACACCAGGCTCATGCAATCTTCTACAGGCCCAATTCAGAGAGTCTACCCAGCAGGATTACCTAAACAAGGCAGGCCAGTGCCCACGGACACATCCTACAGTCCTTCCCCTAGCTTACCCAAGGCTAGGCGGAACTCAGACTAGCCGGAGCGACTTACATCCCTACCCTCCTAGAGCTAAGCCATGCATGCATAGACCCCGTCATGCACATTTCGTGAGTACTGCAGCCAAACCCTGAGAAATCTGCCCCCACATCCCCCAACCCCCACCCCCCAAAA